CGAGAGGCGGGGTACACCCTGGACAGGTCGCCAGTCCATCGCAGGCACCAGAACCAGTTCCTGATTAACTCTGTGTGTGTTTCCCAAATAAACATTGTTAAACTTTCCTCTGTCTCCGTTAGTGTTCTGCATGTGGGTTTTCGTTCATTAAACCAATCATGACAAAGGCCATCTGGGGGTTCAAGAAGACAGAAGCAATGATATATAAATACTTGCTATGATAGAGAAGGTAACAGTAAACCATTGCCACTGGTGGATCTGCCTAGAAAATAATTATTTAGGCAGATGATCCCTGAGATGGTTTCCTTGTCAAAGAGGATGACAGAGAGAATATAGTCGCAGTCAAAACTCAGCCTAGGAGAGAAACGGGAATAAAGTGAAGAACAGGCCCAACTCTATCATCTACAATAAAAGTTGTTAATGGCAGCAGCCCAGCTGATGACTCCCTGATGATCTCACAGCTAAACAGAATCAGACCAGATGAAACAAGTATGACAAAAAAGTATAAGTTCACCTTAAAAATAGAGAATAGGAAAGGAATAAAGCAGAAAGGTATAAATGGTCCTCATGTCCCTAGGTCAGGACATTATGGAGGGGATGATGATGTCAGATGCAAAATGAAGATCCCATGTGTAGGTAGAGGAACTTTACAGACATGTTACAACAGGTATTTGGAGTTTTCTCTTAACCATTGTGTGATTTTTTTTATTAGATTTAAACTTCAGTTTGTAGAATTTCAGAAATTCTCCTAACTGGAGGGCAGGGGTGGCCTAGTGGTGAGGGCATTGTTTTTGGAATCCAAGGGTACTGAGTTCAAGCACCACTCCCACAGACTGCCACACTGGCTCTCTGAGCTAAGACCCTTAACCCCACACTGCTCCCCAGGTGACACACAATGGCAGCGTAATAACAATAAAAGCTGGAGAAAAAGAACATTTTGTTTACATAATCACAGAGGATTATTTTCATGTCTGAAACTTTAGTGTTATATGTAAAACATCCACAGATGACCAGCATGGCACCTACCGAAGATCTGGTTTGGCTAGTTTTTATTTTTCTTAAATAATAAAAATTACATACACATAGCCAATTTAACATGGGAACTACTTGAAAGTAGTAAACACTGTGGTTTGGGAATTTAAATAATTGTGCACTAGAATTCTTCTGATATTTATCTCATTTATTCATTTGATTGGGACAGTGCATGTTAATAAGTACACATGAAAAACACATGCATCTAAACACCCAGATTTTATCAAAGCCTAAATACCATTTGTTTTCTCTCTGGCGTATGTAGACAATTAAACGTAGCTGTTGGAAAATCCCTCCATCTTGTCAGCGGAACTCTACCAGCTCAGATGTAATTCGATGTGCAGCCTTTTTTGTCAAACTAAAACAGGTGACATACATTTAAATCTATAGTAATACAAGCCAAGCCATGTTTACATTGATTTGCCAAGCTTCCAACAATCATCTCTTAAAATCGTCAATATGGTGAAAATTATGCAAAAACTGTAAAATGTAAAAAAAAAAAACCTCAATATGCCTTGAAGTTCAAACATTAATTGTATTTGTAGTATTTGGTAGATTGTATTTAATCTTTCTTTCTGACCGTCTGCATATTTATTTTTGCACAAAGACATCCAGGCTCATTTTATAGGAATAGCGCACAGTTTGTGGAGCTGGGGGCTGAGAGTACCACCAATACGTGGAGTTAGATCTAATTCCTCCTCTGTGACTCCAGGAGCAGGAGAGAAACGGAAATGCTGCAGGAGCGTAATGAAAAAAATGAAGAGCTCCATCCTGGCCAGACTCTCTCCAGGACACATCCTGCGACCTATAAAAAAATAACCATCAACTAGTTCCTGAAGAATCAAGATCCATTTAAAAGCATAACTAAGCTAACCTGCTGAAAATGGCAAGAAGGCATCACGCTTCCGGAACTTTCCATCTTTGTTTAGGAAGTGGTTTGGATAAAAGGTGCTTGGCCTTTCCCATTCACTCTCATCGTGCAGAACAGAAGTCAGGACAGGAATGATGGTGGTTCCCTTAAAGAAATCAATTACAATTATCAATCATAATGATGCTCCAATGTCTAACATTACACTAAAACAGTAAGGTTTTTAAACTCTTTTGTAATCATCTAGAAAAAACACCTTCTTTTTTTTTTTTTTGTTCCTTGTTACTAAGTGTGACAAAGGGGAGAGGGGATCTACAGATCCATCAGCTCCAGGCTCCTCTATATTAATAAACTGAATTGAATCTTTCTCAATCTCAATCTGAGAATACCACAGCTGCTGAAGACCTTCTGTATTGGCGTCGTAGATTGCAAACCCAAGTGACCTCAGCACGTGAAACACAGCAGTACTAATTGCATTTAATAAAAATGTTCCTCATCCATCTTAACGCACTTGTGGGGTTTTCATTAGATCAGCTGCAATTTGCGTATTGTTCTGGGATCGAATGCCAAATGAGGTAAGGTCAGCCTGGTTTCCTTGCAAAATATTTTAAGAAAATCTTCACAATTAAAGCATAACACACCAATATCTAATGCCATAACTGACTGGAGCAGAACAAGGAAGGGGTATGTCACTGAGAGGGAGAAAAAGAGGAACTATCTAATGGGATTGACTGAATGGGTTGTTAAAGATATAGGCTCTATGTATGCACCTATGCTCTTTCTCTCTTTCTTTTTTCTGCCTCTTATTGACTGAAAAGAATCCAGAGACATCTTATTGGCTGAGAAAAGTTCCCAAGCTTCTAAATGCAATTGGAGTAAATTAAATGGAAAATAAAGTGTTCTGTTTTTCCATTGCATGGATGATTTAAGGGAGTGGGACGGGGAAGAAGGAAGAAGAAACTTTTCCCTTTTTTGCGATCTGTCAGGATTTGGTGGTGTTGGTTTGAGGACCCAAATGCAGAGACGAGTGGGAAAAGATGAATTTAAGTGATTTAATGGTAAACAGGTTCTGAGGCAGGAGGTTAACAGGCACTGGAGGCAGGAGTCAAAAATCCAACAAAAAATCTCACTAACCAGATACTAAGAGACTTCAGGGGAAAAAAACAAAAACTAAGAACCAGGAAGAGACGAGGAAGACAGACAGACAATTGATCAGAGGTTGAAGG